GTAAAACTTACCAATTCTCTTTGCCCCCTTTAGAAGTCACCAGGGCACCCCTCTACCCAAAGAAAGTATCTTTATGGGACTAGTGCAACTTCTGTTATCAAAAGAGATTTGTTCTTCACAGGTCCGAGTAATGGAAACTGTGTCTTATCACCCCCAAATACCTCGAGTATTAGTTCTTCATCTTCAGTGTACAAAAGAACTACGCTAATTTGCTGTAAAGCCGGATGGGCCAGATTCTGATTTGGTGGGTCTGGGGTGAAGATGAAGTATGTGAATACTAACAGGCACCTCATATATTCCTACTGTGGGTATTTTGTAGGATGTGGTACAAGCAGCCCGGTGCTTCTCAGTTGAACTGAATTGTGTGGAATAGATAACTAACTTGTGTTAAGTATGAGGTTTTTGCACAAATCCCGCAGCAGTTTGAGGAACGACCGGCAGGTGGCAAGCGACTCCCACGATGCGCAAAGGAGAATTTTCGAGCATTTCCAGCCCCCAAATCTCAAGTTTAAAACTGCTCAGGCAAGTAAGTAGTGAGGAATCCTGTTTCCCAAGTAAAGTTGTTCGCGAGAGTAGTGAGTGTCTTCCCTTTGCATGTGAATTCGAATGAGCCAATGGCCCACTTCTTACCCCAGTTCCCGGGGCTAAATCCATGCTGAACCCTAATGCTGCCTTCTGGCCATTGGAAGCCAAAATCCTGGCACCCGCAAGGACTGGTCTACCTCATGAAGCTACCCGCTAAAGGTTCTTAGGATGGCGGGGGATGGGGGGGTCAGCCCCAGGATGGGCAGAGAACATAAGATGTTTGCTCAAAAGGGAAAGGTCCATTCACCAATGGAGAGTCATATGGTTGTGTCTGTGTTGTTGCTGCAGTCAGAGATGAAGAGGAGACGTCTCAGGCCCCTCATTTTGTAGACAGAGCCTGGGAGAGGGTGAGCCATTTGCCCAGAGACACACAGCTAGAAAGTTCTAAAACATGGAGTCCGTCTTAATTTCAAATGGCCTGCCTTTTCACTGCACCTAACACAAATCGGTGTTGAAAATGTGTGTAGTTCATTAGTGCTTGCCCAGGAACAGAAGTTTGGGGATGAGCATATGGTTGGGGAAGGGGGGGTTGAATGACTTTAGGATGTGTTTGTATAAGAAGCCCACCTTTTTAATGTGGGTTGTATAGTTATTGGGGGGTTACCTGGCAGATGGGGGAAAGTGGGAGTCCAAGGACTAATGGAGCGTGGGGGAGGAGGCTGTCCACTGGTTGTCCCCACTGTGTGTTAATGGACCTTCTTCTACTTCCTTTTCTGCCCACCAAGTTGCAAATTTGTCAAAGGCAATTGTTTACCTCAGATTATATTCAATAGTTCTTGGTGAATCAATGAGCATCATAAACCTTGAACATTTTACATCTAAGTGGTATTTTCTAACTTCTTAGATCAGCAATTTTCAACCTTTTTCATCTTATGGCACACATACATTCATTACTAAAATTCTGTGGCACCCCCCCCAATTTTTTTGCCATTCTGACCAAAAATAAGCATAGCTGTTTATCATTCATACCAGATGACTATAGTTGTTAGCTATTGTCATTTGTTTAATGATTTTTTTGTTTTTTTTGTTTGTTTTGTTTTGTTTTTTTAGAGAAAGGGGAAAAGAGGGAGAAAGAGAGGAGAGAAACATCCATGCATGGGAGAAACATGGAGTGGTTGCCTCTCTCTGGCCACCAACCAGGGACCTGGCCCAAAATTCAGGCCTGTGCCCTGGCAGGGAATCTGTATCTGCCTTTCAATCTGAGGGAGGACGCCCATCCCACTGAGTCACACCAGTCAGGGCTGCTGTCATTTTTTTATTTGACAATCTAAAGAGAAAGAGGTCAGTGCCCCTGACTAAGTAGTCAGGTACCGAGTGGTTAAAAATTCTTGCGTTTCACGGGTGGAAAATTGCTGTCTTAGGTGGATAGCCAGTACCTCCTTTCATGTATTCCATACTCTTCATTTATTGATAACACAAATACAGTGTTTATTTACTGTGTGCCAGACACTGTTCTCTCGTTTTACAAATAACGAACCATTGAATTTTGGTTTGTTGCTGTTTCTTTAAGATTCCGTGTCAAGGAGGATCCGTGTATGAACAATCACCTTCGTCCTTCCCCTGCTTTTCCAAAGAAAAAGCCCCCGACAGTGGTGCACACGACGACCTGGGGGCGCACAGTTTTCCACTCCGACATCAAGCTGTGGCAGGCTCCTTGCTCCTAACTTGGTTCCAGCAAACTTTCTCCTCGGGCCCCGGAGCCCACGTTCAGGTCTGCACAGAGGTGGAGAGAGAGAACTGGCCGCCGCCGGCGGCTGATTTATAGGCTCAAGCACTCCCAGGCCGCACCGCAAGGAGTCGGGCTGAGCTCGGACTTTGGGGAGGTGATGATGGACACGGGACACGTGGCCACACAATGGGGACACACGACTGACCTCAGTCACTTCGGCAAACTGCCCCTGCTTTCAGGAGGCGGCTGGAGCGTTTTAGGAGCTCCTGGGCTCCGGCGCCTGCGGCCAGCGCCCCAGGGGACAGCGCTGCTCTCAGTGGTGAGCACCCTGACCTGAGCTTCAAAGTTATTTCCGAAGAATGGGAGTCTCGGTGCGTTGCACAGAGTGTAAAGAACGCCTCAGGAACCGCCTGGCCGCTGAGACTGGCCAGGACGCACGGGTAGTGAACTCTCCGGGCAGGTCACACGTAGGCACCGAGGCTCTGTGACGTCACAATGCAGCGGGCAGGGGAATAGACTGAGGAAGAAGGGTCAAAGAAGTGTGTGTGTGGGGGGGGGGGGGGTGCGTGTGTGTGGTGGGAGGTAGAGGAATATGAAAAGAGGGAAATCCAGAGGAATGGGGGAAGGGAATTCGAGAAGGAGCAATCAAGTTGAGGGAAAATAGAAGGGTTTTTTTTTTTTCTTCCGTCCTATATGCAAACTGTCACTTCGGGTTAGCGTGAGCCCTTATCTAGCTCATTAGCATGAGCTGTGGCTAACAGGCTTAAACTCCGTAATTATTTATTATGCCGTCTCGGAGCGGGTCACAACCCTGGGGCGCACTTGCGAGGAAAGGCAGAAGCGGGCACAGCGCGCGGGGGGGGGGGGGGGGGGGCACAGCGCCCAGGCTGCCAGGGGAGACCCTTCCCCCACGAGCGAGGCAGAACACTGTTCCTCAAGGCAAGGTTGCAGAGTTGTTGGGGTGCATGAGAAATGCCCTCTCCCCAACACTCACCCCCCAGGGAGGTAGCGCACTACTCATCTCCATCGTCTACCTTTGCGCCGATCTTCCCTATCGCCAGCTCCGAAGTTGGAGCAAAGAGGAACAGGATTTTTGCAAAAACTGGAGCCAGACTTGGGCGGGGTTGCGAGCTGAGTGCACCACCCCGGAAGACCTCGGGGAAAACCTCAGCGGTTGCCTTCCCTGCCTCTCCCCAACCCCCACGCCGCGTTCCAGGAGAGTTCACAAAGTTGGGGCTGGGGAGAGATCGTGGACCGCCTTGGGCTGAAAGCCGGCCAATCACGCCCACGGTTCTTTTCAGAAAACAGTTTCAAAATAAGTTAACCTCTGTGGGGTGTTTTTCCCTCCCCTTCTAATTGTCCCCCTTCCCCTCCCTCTCTCCATTCGAGTGTGTTTTATGTTCCTCTGCGATGTGCCCACTATTTTATCTTTATTCCTTCTCTTTCTCTCTGGCCATTCATTCCTTTTTGTGTGTGTGGCTTCTCCGGCTGATACGCGGCTCCTTACCACCCACTGCACACTCGCTCCTGTAGCTGAGGTGTTTCTATACAAACTCGAGCGTCCAGTTGTCATATTAATTATTACACTGAGTAATGACTGAAATGGTCAAAATAAGGGGAGACTCGAGAGCGCTTTTTCTTGCTGCTCAAAGATTCAGCAAAGAAGCCGTGCAACAAAGCACTAATTGGTCCCCAGAAACACTCCGACAAGGCATGGAAGATAGGTTTCATAGAACCCTGCTACTGTGAAGGGGGAAAGCCTGAATGGACCCCACGCTTCTTTTCTAAACTCTCTTGTGAGCAAAAAATGGGCCTCTGTTTGAATACTGCCCTGATCCTTGAATACTATACCCAGCAGAGAAAAAAATGCACCATTTATTGTAAGTTTTTTTTTTCTTCTCCAGCTATTCATGGGATCTCTGTGAAGAATCAGCTGGTTTTGTTTACCGTGAAAGACCTTTACTTTATTTTCATTCTTGGAGAAGGTGGGGAGGAGGGAGGGAAGGGAAGCCATGTGCCTAGGCAGAGAGGAGCTGGCCTACTGTAACAAAATAGAGTGTAACAAATCCTACAAAAGTTGAGAATGTATTGATTCTTTGGAGAGCTATATAGATTAACGACTTTCTTTATGCTTAACCGAGGAAGGTATTTAATCATAATGTAAATGGGGCTTTAGAAAAAAATAAAGACTTCGCGTTACTTCTCCTTATTTGGAGAACTTCAAAAGCGCTGGGGAGGGTGACTGCAAATTACCCCCTCCCTCCACCCCTCCCTCCACTCCCTAACCAAAAAGCCACAGTAAAATAATACTTTGTGCTTTTTTTGTTTTGTTTTCCAGCTTTTTTTTTCTTTTTCAGGCGTATTGAAAATAGCAAATATATTTGTTAGAAGCCTGGATTCCTTAATGCAGGTGCCGGCCTGGCTGCTGTGACCGAGAAGCTGAGCCAAATCCGTACCCTGTGCCATTCTGCCCCCGTGAACAGGCCATCCCCGCCTGGTCAGACTTAACTCAGGCTGGGCAGCAGCTGCTTCTAAAGTTATCTTGGGGAGTATGCCCTGGAGACAGTAGGTTGTGCAGTAAAGCACTTTTCATTTCCTTGGGTAAGGACAGTGTCAATCAAGCACAGGCATGGAGCAGCGTACACCTAGGGCAGAGGCTACTGGAACCCAGATATCTGAGTGCCTGGCACACTCATTTTTCTCGACACGCCCGTGGATGCTGGGGCTTAGAGCTCACCAAAATTGAGGGCTGCACTAAAACTCTTGTACCCACTCAAAAATCTAAGGCCTGTGATCATCTTTGTGTTCTCTCTCTTTGCCTCTTATTCGGGATCCGCTATAAATGTAATTTTACTTGTTCAATGAAAAACCTAATTTCATTTTTCATGTTAACTTCACTTCCCTCCAAAAAGAACAGCACAGAGGAAACTTTTCAAAAAGAGATGAGGCCTATCTCCTTTCTGCAGAGAGGGGGATCACAATTCTGGAGCACGAGGGTGGTGTGTGAGCAGAGGTGGCCCTGGCCTGGCCTTCCATGACAAGTGGAAATTAAGGTGGCAGGAGACTCAGGACACCAGACTCTCATGTCTCCAGGGCAACGAGCCCTGTGCATCACTAGAAAAGCCAGTTTTCCATGTAGATCTTGACGCTGAATGTGGATAAGGTTTTATCCCAAGTGTGAGAGCTCCTGAATTCCCTAAATAGAGGAGGGGCCTTCAGGCCCAGAAATGAAGGCCCTTGTCGTAATGCAGGAGGAACCTCCCCATTTTTCTAGGATGTCTGTGTTCTGGGAAACACAATCCAAAGACGAGCAGCATTCTGCCTCCCGTCACAAGACTGGCAGTCCCTGATGTGTGTATGGAGGGATTCGCACCTCGAATTCAGAAACAACATCCGATTTCATTCTCCTGACAGCCTCCTGGTGAACAGAGAGAACACCACCACTCCACCATTAGGGATGAGGTCATCCAACTCTTCTTGGTGAGTTACTCTTCTTCCCTTCACATCTAGATAAATGGAACCTTGAGTGTCCCGGTCAAGTAAATCCTGGAGTCTTGCTCAGAGTCAGGCCCACTGGTGGCAAGGGAGGTCAGAACCGGTGACTCTGCTGAAGTCCCTTCCATGTGCCAGCCATGGCGCTTGCCTGCATTTCATCTGAATTTCTACTGTTTCTGTTTAAAAACTTGGTTGCTATCTCCCATCACCTCGATTTCAAAGCATCACCACTATTCCTCAGAAATGACAGGAATTACCCATTCCCAGGTCCTGGGACAGTGAGAGGGGGGCACAGGATCCCTAATGGCTGTAGCAACTACCAGAGCGAGGTTCAGGAAAGGCAGGAACCGGTCCCCCACCTCCTGTACACCCTTCACTGGTTGGGCTGCGTGAGTAGCAGTCTTCCTTGTTGTTTTAGAAAGGCTGTTATCAATCCTTTCCTGTTGAGACCTGACTGGAAGTACTCCAAGTACATCTCTGAAGTCTCGCAGAAGCTGGAAGTAGATGTTCTAACTGTGGACATGGCAGATGAGGAAACTGAGGTTCAGAGCGCAGGCTGTCTGCTCAAGGTCACACTGCTGTTTAAGTACAAAAGCCTGGAGGTCACATGGAGCCCATCTGCCTTCTGTACCCCTCCCCCAAGAGCTGGAGCTCCTTGGGCACAAGAGAGCCTGTGGTAATTCTCTCAAGTGTGTGTTGGGGGTGTGGGGGTAGATGTCATACTCTAGGTCTCAGGATCTGGCGCAGGGTTCTAATTGGCTCTTGAGCCTCAGTCCTTTGCTCCAAACCAGTGAAAACAACCAGAAAGCCAATTGCAGTGGAAAACTCCCCTTGGTAATACACAATCCTAAAGGCAGAGGCGCAAACTCCCCAAAAGGTTCTAGATCGCTCTCCTTTCCAGCTGGAGAACAAGGTGGAGCCAGCAGTGCTGGGCTGGGCTGGTGCCGGGGAACACTCTTGGTATTTATTTACTCCAGTCGGAGGAGGAAAATGCCTGGGTTCTTGGAGAGTTTTGCGAACATGCAAGAAAGTACGCTTAGGATGCGGGAACCCCGAGCCCGAGGCCAGAATTTTGGCTCGGAGCTGGAGCGGGGAGAATAGGGACAAACGCTGCGGTGGCTTTGACCAGAAGGATCCCCGCATCCGCTGTCTTTCCTCCTGGGCGGAGGCCAACGAGTAGGGCCGCTACAATGCACAGCTTCGTTGCTTGGCGCTTTTATTTGACTGCAGGTTACATGGCCTGGCCTGTGTACGTGTGCCTGTGCATGTGCATGTGCGTGTGTCGGTGGGGGTTGCGAGTAGGCTCTGGCCTTGAAGTCCATGATCATTAGGGTCTCCATGCACAAGAGTCTGCACCCAAAAAGGAAACTGAGAACACTTGGGGTCCATCTGAAGATTTCCCGTGCCCCCAGGTCCATTTCGAAATTAGCGAGTGTACGCCCCTCAGGCACAGATCCGAAAACTAAGGGCGGCAGAGGAAGAGGGGCTTGTTCACGGTTACAACTCGAAAAGGGTCACAGCCAGAACTATGGACCTTTACCTGTGGAATGCTTAGAGTCTGCGTTGGAAGAGAGCTCAGGGCGTCTGGTTCAGCCCAACGTGAAAGAAAGCGCACTAGATGCCTCGATGGTGGTGCCTCCCCGCCCCCCAACACATGCACTATTTTGCTAGAGAGGAGTGGAGGGACCCAGGAGGCCTTTCCCGGGCGCCTCCTAGCCGCAGCACCCACAGATCAGAGCTGAGCTGCAGGAAGCGCCTGAACACCCTGTTTCGCCAGGTGGCCAGTCTTCCTCGGGTTGGAAAGCAGGTGGCGTGGTTCTACTTTAGGCCTCAACGCCTCCGACAGTTCCCGAAATGGAGACGAGGTGAATTTGGAGACCCTTTAGCTCCTTTCCTGGGACGAGGCGTGGGGGTGTAAACCCCACTGGTTCGGCAAAGTCCCGTGGGGTCAGCAGGCATGGGAAGGGGCTGTGTGGGTGGAGAGATTTACAGAACTATGGAGTCTTTTTGGCACGATTCGGTGTTATAGTCCCCAAACCGGTCTATTTTAAAAGAGAAAACTGTAGCAGAGAATGGAGGTGATTCACCTTGGGAGCCATCCGTCCTCACCGCCCACCACCCATATTGCTCCCCCAACACCCATAGCCTGAAGCACATACCAAGGGCGGCAATCTGAGGGCCCCCCACGTATCCTTTCGAAAGCCCCAACTCCACAAAGGGAAGTCCACTGAGAAGTCATTGCCTAAATAATTCACTGCAATCATCCCCGCACCTGGATGGTTACCCTCTGCTTCCTTCTGCTACGTGGACGAGATTAGAGACACGCCCCAGCCTCCTTCCACAACAGAAAGGTACGAGATGGGACCCACTGCTCCGTCCGCTTTTCCCCGAAGCGCCGTGTCCCAAGCCGCCCCGAAGTTGGACGAGGCTCCGGCCACAGCGCGACAGGGCCGAGGGCCCAGGAAGGGCGCCTGGGCGGGCGCTGTCCCAGCGGCTGAGAGACTGCTGCGAGCGCCTCCCCCTCCCTCGCGGGGCCAACACGCGGCTCAGCCGGGCTCGGCTCCCAGTCGCCTGCCACCAGCCCGCCCGGCACACGCCTGGGGCGGGATGGAGGCTGCGCCAAGGCCGCCGAGGTGCCTGAGGCGGCAGCGAACAACCAGAGAAGCTCCTCCAGCCCCCCAATGAGATTCATTACCCTCCCCTGCACCCTGCGCCCCACATCTTTTCCCTCAGATGCAGCCGCGAATATCCCAGAGAACTCTCTTTATGCACCTCCCCCCCCAGCTGGGTCGGAAATTATCCTTTGGAGGCGCAATGATACATGCAGCCGGAGGTCATAGGCGGTGGGCAGCAGGGGCGGGGTGGGGGGCATCCTTGATGTGAACACACCTATCCTGGGCGCTGATAACAACCAGAGCGCAAAGCCATCCATCACTTCCTTCTCCTTCTCCTCGGAAGCTTCCATGCTGGCTCAGTTGTGGGAAGCACCTCCCAGCTTTTAGACCTGGATGGAACATTACAGACCAGCTAATCCAACCTCTGTTGTTACAGACAAGAAAACTGAGGCTCAGAGAGGTTGCCACTTACCGAGGGCCACAGAGCTAGTGAGAGAGCGTTTTGGGGCTGGAACCGAAGTCTTTGCAGTACTTTTAGTTTTAAGGGTCCAGTACTTTGGGAGGCGTTGCCCCCATCTTTCTGAACTTCAATCGCAAATTTGCATTGCGAGGACAGTGAAGACACCCCCCCACACACACACACACACCAGAGAAGGACACTGGGTAGGAGAAGAAAACGGGAAACACGAAGCCTCAGTCCCTTCTAACTTCCACACAGCCCGTGCCGCTTTTTCCGTCCAAATCCTCCCCTGTGCTTAGCTCCAAGTCCTTAGGAGAATCCCAGGGCACTACGCCCCAAACTGTCAACCCTTACACCCCAACTCCCAGAGCGTTTTCGCCCCTCCTGTGAGGCCGCCCCCCCTTTCTAGAGCCACCCCCGGCTGCGGCCCGCCCCGAGCGCGCCGCCTGTTTATTCAGCCGGGAGCCCGGCACGCGCCAGGCGCACGCACTGCAACAACAAACCCTGCTGAATGGGGAGTTTGCATGGAGCGGCAGCAGGGAACGGGTGGGGGGGTGGGGGAGAAGAGGAGAGGAGGAGGGGAGTTTAGGGAATGGGTGGGAGGAGGAGGAGGTAAGAGCAGGGGGGAGTGGGGGGCTGCAGCCGCTCGCTACAGCAGCGGGGAGTGGGGGGCAAGGCGGGGCCAGGGCTGCGCGTGGGGCTGGGTGTCCCATTGAAAAGGGAGCCGCACTCCGGCCGCCCAGCATTCTCACTTCTGGCCAGGGAACGTGGACGGCGCCACGACAGGGAGCCGGCCAGGGAGGGCGAGCGAAAGAAGGAAATAAGAAAGAAAGGAGGTTAACAAAATAATAAAAACTGCCTGCCCCACGGCTGGAGAGATCGAGACCTGGCGCAAGAAAGCGCAGCCCTAGGGGGAGAGGAACGGGAGACTCAGCAGAGCAAGCTCATCACTGACTTTTGCTTCTTCTGCTTTTTTTTCTTTTAAAACAAGAAGGCGCTAGCGGCGGCCTCACACGCGAGCGCCACGCGAGGCTCCCGAAGCCAACCCGCGAAGGGAGGAGGGGAGTGAGGAGGAGGAGTGGAGGGAGGAGGAAAAGCATTTGCACTTTCTTTGCTCCCAATCTACGAAGTCTCCCGGGGACTCTGTAATATTTTAAACTCCCCTGCGGACCCCCTCTTCATCTCTCTCCTTCTTTCCCTCTCTGTTCGTGCACCCTAGTCCTGTCTGCGTCTCCCTCCCGCGCCCCGCACCTCGCGCCCCCGCTCGCTCCGATCCCGCGACTCCTTGGCAGCCGCAGCGCTGGAGAGCTCTGCCAAGATGGAGAGCGGCGCCGCCGGCCAGCAGCCCCAGACGCAGCCCCAGCAGCCCTTCCTGCCGCCCGCAGCCTGCTTCTTCGCCACGGCCGCGGCGGCGGCAGCGGCGGCGGCGGCGCAGAGCGCGCAGCAGCAGCCGCAGGGGCCGCAGCTGAGCCCCGCGGCCGACGGCCAGCCCTCAGGGGGCGGTCACAAGCCCGTGCCCAAGCAAGTCAAGCGACAGCGCTCGTCCTCGCCCGAACTGATGCGCTGCAAACGCAGGCTCAACTTCAGCGGTTTTGGCTACAGCCTGCCGCAGCAGCAGCCCGCCGCCGTAGCGCGCCGCAACGAGCGCGAGCGCAACCGCGTCAAGCTGGTCAACCTGGGCTTTGCCACCCTCCGCGAGCACGTCCCCAACGGCGCCGCCAACAAGAAGATGAGCAAGGTGGAGACGCTGCGCTCCGCGGTCGAGTACATCCGCGCGCTGCAGCAGCTGCTGGACGAGCACGACGCGGTGAGCGCGGCCTTCCAGGCCGGCGTCCTGTCCCCCACCATCTCCCCCAACTACTCCAACGACATGAACTCCATGGCCGGCTCGCCGGTCTCATCCTACTCGTCGGACGAGGGCTCTTACGACCCCCTCAGTCCCGAGGAGCAAGAGCTGCTCGATTTCACCAACTGGTTCTGAGTGGCCTGGTGCGACGGACTTTCGAAGCAGGTAGGTTGCATTTTGGAGTGAAGGAGGTGAAAGGGGTTCCTGGTCTTCGTCTTTTTTCCTTCCCCCTAGTCTCTGGGAAGGGGACTGTCTCCACGGAGACGGGGTGGGGGGACAGGGATTGATTTCAGGGACTTGTACAAGTTAGTCGATTTGAAATCCTGATTTGTTACTTTCAGCATTGGCCTCTGAGAGTGGCTTTGCCCGCAGGTCTGCAAGGACTGGAGATAGGGGTGAGGTGGACGGGTGCTGAAGAACCAAGTCCTAAGACCTGTCAAACGAGGAGCTCTACCTCCCCTCCCTAAACCTCCATTCCCCCTAACGCGGGCCTCCGAGTTCACTTTAACCTCTCCCGTTCTTCTCCTTATGTTATAGGGTGACTGCATGACCTGCATCTTTAGTGCTTTCTCACCAGTGATGCTGGAAGGAAGGAAAACGGAAAATTAAAAAAAAAAAAAAAGAAGGGAAAAAAAGGCAACCAACTCCAATACCAACCAAGCGACCCTAGCCTGCTGAGCGAGGCTCTCACAAAACAGGGATGCGTTCAGAACCGTGTCTTTGCACTCCAGTCATTCACGGAGATAAGAAGAGTGACTAGGACCTGAGTCAGTGTGCAAAGTGCTGCTTGTGTGCACAGGCAGCGGGCTCTTGGCAGAAGAGAGCAGCACACGTTCCATAGCGACTCCCACCCGAACTAACTGGCAGAGCTGAAGGCGCTCCCTGGGTATCCTCACCTCCCCGCCCTCCTTGAAAGCGCAGTTCTTAACTCTCTAGCAACGGGGTGGTGTCTCTCCTCTCAGTACCCTCCATCTCAATAAGCTGTGGACATTTTCTGCAGTGAAACTATGCTCTATACTCAGTCCTTCGACACCCCGTCCTCGGGCCCCTTCCCCAAGCCCCACTCCCTCACGCCAGCTTTCCTACCATGTTCATCATAGGATGCTTCCAATCTTTGGTGAATTTTTTTATTATAAAAAAATCTATTTGTATCTATCCTAACCAGTTTGGGGATATATTAAGATATTTTTGTACATAAGAGAGAAAGAAGAAAATTTATAGAGTTTTGTACAAATGGTTTAAAATGTGTATATCTTGATACTTTAACATGTAATGATATTACCTCTTCATATTTTAGACGTGTAGCTCACCTTACAACTGCCATTTTTCCCATGTGGTTTTGTAAAGAACTCTCCTCACAGGTGAGATCAAAAGGCCACCATATGTACTTAAGCACCAATGTGTCTTACTTCATAGAAACTTTGTTAATGTATTAATGATGTTATTAAATACTGTTCCAGAACAAAGTTTATGCAGCTACTGTCCAAACGCAAAGTGGCAGCCAGTGTTTTTGATAGGTTGCCTTTTGGGAAATTTCTATCACTGCCTTTTTTTTCTTACTGTTTTATTACAAACTTACAAAAAAAACCCATGTATAACCCTGTTTTATACAAACTAGTTTCGTAATAAAACATGTTTCTTTTTTTTTAACTAGTGAAAAAGTCTTCTTTGGCTCCCCTGTCTTGTCCAAGTTATCGAAATGCCACAGGGAAGGGGTGGGTGGGGAGGAGAGGGGGCTACAAAGCATGCGAACTGGCAGACGGGGTGAGGATAAGAGCCTAGACCAGTCCTACCTGAGGTGGCTCTGTGACCAGTGCTTTCTTCCCCTCGTAACCTGCACATACACTCACACACCAACAGAACAGGTGGTGATTGATGGCTGCATTGTCTTTGGGTAAGATGACTTAATATTTTAGAAAATGCCCCCAAAAATAAACTGGCAGAAAGAGGGCCCTCACTCCACGGTCTAACCCTGCTCCACATTTCTGAGTTGCTCACTGCGAGACTGAAGAGGGGCTGAATGAAATAATAGGCTCAGGGGTGGGAGGAAGGACAGCGGTACTGGGCTAGGCAGGGCTGGCCGACAGAAGTAGCTGTGTCCACACGCCCAGTGATGAGTGTGTTCCTCCTTCACTCCCAGGCACACGTTTTCTACTTCTTTTCCCCAGGTTGCACTCTTTCCATATTGATTTTAAGTGAAGGGCACGTTTCAGATGGATTCCTTGAGGAAGGAATTAGATGGAAAGAAATAAAAGCCTCAGAAATGTGCGGTTGCTTCAGAGACACTGGCCCATCTAAGCTGGTGACTCTATCCCAATAGCGTGAGCTGCGTGCAAAAGTACCCAATTACCAAGATTCAAAAAGAAATTGGTGGGGTTTTTGGCTGGCTCGCTTCTTGTCAGTTAGCAAGGACGTGATCAGAATGCCACTCCGCCTCTCGCCGGCGCCTCGCTCGTCTCCTGCGTTACTTGCGCATTCAGTTTGCGTGTCTCCAGCCAAGCGGAAAGCCGAGCGCAAAATGCGTCTTACAAAACCCAACAAAGAACGGGGAGCCAGCACGTCTTCCAGAGTTAAAAATCTAGTCTGTGTTGGTACATCTATACCATTTAGAGGCACAGAATAATCATTTTTTAAAGCTGCGATGCGCGGAGCACGCCACGGCGTCTGATGTCATTTTGCTAAATGACCCTCTATAGAATGCACGTTGAGGCTCCAGTCCCTTTCAAAGAGATGAGCGTAATTAAGGGGAAAAAAATCAGTAAATTCCTCATCGCCATAAATAATCGGACTTTCTGCCAGCAGTGGGCCAATTTAGAGCTTACTTGAGGGAAGTAATGCTTTTGTGATGCCTGCTTTTATTTTTATCTTCTCATTTAAAGGACCGGAGCTGGGCGCCCTCCACCCCACCCCCACCCCCACTCATTTTTCTTTTAACTTAGCTCCTTTGCGAGTTTTCAGATAAGGTGGGTAAAGAAAGTGTAGCAAGTCATTTATCGCTATGAATATAACATTAGGGTAATGTTTCAGCCCCCACAAAGGGGATTTTACCCCCCTTCTCCTAGCGAAGACAGGTGTTCTTTTACTCACTTCTGAATGGGAAATATCCAGTCTCGTTAAACTCGAGGCAAAGTTAGCCGTTGTTTGCCACAATGCGAAGGCAAACTCTAAAAATTCACAGAAACACACACACAATTTTGCCGAAGCTAGGAAAGGGCAAAGCGGGGATTGGGCAAAATCTCATTACATCTGCTCTAATCGCTTAGCAACACAAAGCCGGGGCTTGTGCGGCAAAGGGAAGCCATTCACAGCGCTGTGACAGGCCGCATTCAGCCGGCATTAGTCAGCTCCATAAATCACCGCTGCCCATTGGCTGCGCGGCGGGCTTTGCAGGGGCGCTGGGCTGTAAGCGAAATACAAAATGTAGACCCCAGCGGCCCGCAGTCATGGCCTCTCCCCCGTCCAGCCCCCACCCCACTTTCTTCAAGGGGTGGGGGGGTGCTGGGGAAGAAAACTGCCCTGACTTTATTGACTGAGAAATCTTACCTATTCAACAGATGACCCGAAGACCACCGAGTTAAGACAGGAGACACGCCTGAAATTGACGAGGAGGAGCGGGGGTGAGCAGGCGCAAAAGAATAAACAGGCCGCAGAACCACTGAGTGCCAGTATTATCTGAGGCTGGGCAGGAGCTACTGGGACACACGTATCACCTCCCTGACACGGCCTTACAGCCTTTAACTTTTTTTTTTAAAATTGGAAGTAAGGGGGTGTGGTGTATGGAGAAGAATCTCTCTCTCCTGTTCGCATCAGGCGGGCCCACCAAGAGAGAGAGAAGAAACTGATCTGCTCTTTGCATTGGGCATGGAAAGAGTAGGACTAAGATGCAGTGAGAAAGAGGGTGTAGAAGATGCTTCTCTGCTGTGCTGTTCTTTCAGGGCTCGGGATGTTAGAACACAACAGAGTCAAGGGCCCGCTTCCTCCTGAGCTTCAGTCTTCTTGTTGGTAACATGGGCTGGAGGGTACCCACAGCAGCAACAGGAGACAATGTAAAGGAGTTAGCACAGGGCCTTGTGGGGGAGGTTACAAGCTATATGTAAATGCGAGTGCCCTTGTTATTCTTACCTTTCAGTTCCATCTCTCACGTTCCCTGGGTCTCCAGAGTTGATGCCTCTAAATCACAGACTAGCTTTGAGGTTTACCCACAAACCACAGAGAAGTCTGGGAGTAGATGTGGAGTCAAGTTAGACTTTCCGGGGAGCCCAGGTCACCTTACTTCAAACTCCACCTTCTCTGAGAAGCTTTACTTGTCCACTCTGTCTAAAGCAGAGCTCTGTATAGGCCACAGTCACTCCCCATCATTATGCTGTTTCTCCTTCTTGGCATTTACCACTATCTGAAAAAAACAAAAACAGAAACTGCAGTTGCTGTCAATAGCCCCTACTAGATAGAAAACTACTTGGAGACTGTGGCCTTACCTGTTGTGTTCACTGGTATCTCCCTGGTCCTTGGGGAGATAGGTGTTTGTTAACTGCATGGGTGGTGTGAGTGAGTAATGCATTGATAGCTGTGTCCCCTGTCCTTCCTTTCTTTTCCCAGATCCACTCTCTGCCCTCTCTGCTCTGCTCTGCAAAGGTTGAACTCCATGCACCTCATCACTAGGGCTTCCTTGCCTTCCGGCTTCCTCTTAGGTTTGGCCCCTGGAAGACACTAATAAGAGATTGTGAGGTACGAGGAGAGGTAGGTGGGACCTTTGCATCCTTGCTCCTCATTGCTCAGGCTCAGTTGCTTTGGCAGGGCTCTGCTCCTATGTCTGAGGCCACAGCTTGGTCAGGAGGCTTCTCTCCCAGGGCACCAGCTCTTGTTACTTATGCAGCTGTTACAGATGCAGCAACAGCTTCCTCTTCTTGTTCCTTGTTCCAGAGGTAGCGAGGGCTCTGCCTGGTTCACAGTCTCTGACTGCTGCATCATTCTGATTCCTTTAGCCCCATGCACATCTCTGTCTCTCTGTTAACCTCTTTTCATTGACCATTTCATGTTTGCCATCTGCTCCTGCTGACCCTGGCTGGTCCACAGGCTATTCTCCCACAGGTGCTTAGGGATATATTAGCTTTGGGTAAGATTTTCAGGGACTCCTGGCCATCAGTGGAAACTTCCTAGGGCACAGGTGAACCTAGCTCTGTTCAAAACCTAACTCTGGAAAATCACTTCCAGCTTTTTGAGCAGAGAATGGCTTGCCTGCAAGTTTGCAAAAGAAGTTACAGTTACAGTTTTCTCTTCTGGAAAATGAGGATTATCTTCCCTTTTATAGGTCAACTGATAAATGAAGAGGAAAGAGCTTTATAGCTGTTAATGACTATATCAGTGCAAGAGGTCATTTCTTCTCACAACCTCCCAGAACCAGACAAGAGGTGGTGCTGGGGGCTTGCCACCAAGCTAAACAAAGACCATGCTGGTGTTGAGCGTGGTCTTTGAATGCTTAACAGCATTCTCAAAGATCATGCCTTCATTCATTCATTCACTCTCCATTTATGCACTCATTTAAAAAAGAAAAGAAACATGATGCAATTTACTCAACATTTCTATGATCTAATTGTCTTAATGTTTATCTTTTAGAGTGAGCTCCAAGAAGCTTGTGTTATTGCAACCTCTTTTAAAAACACTATGGATGCTTCTCTGATGTACTCATGTCTTCATTCCTGTTTCCCTTATTCTACTGTTGGGAAGTCTGAACTTTTGTCTTTCTCTCTTCACTCCTGGGCCAAGAAATGATTCATTTTCGGATTTTCCCAGAAACTCCAGGTTGTCCGGGGTCAGGGGTAGGGAGGGAAGTGGATTCGTTGACACTAAAGTTCTCTTCCGTCGGCCAAGGCAAAGGGCTGGGTTCTAGCGCAGGTCCAAGTTATATTCTTTCTTCCTTTGTATGCAAGATTAGGTTGTTACAAAAGAGGGCGTATAGGTTAATGGCAGGAAGCAAGTTGCCGCGCTGACGCGGGGCTGGAGCGCGTGTCAGGTTTAATGATTTATTCAAGCTGCAGCGCATCCCGGCGTTGATTGGCTGCAGGCAGGCGTCCGCTGTCAGCTGCGCGAGCCTCGCACGGCCTCGCCCGGCTACCTGACCGCAGGGGTGGCGCGGGGGTGGCTGGAGGAGGCGTGGCCACCGGTCCTGGAGGGGAGCGGTGTGAAAAGGAGGAGGTAGGAGGTGAGAGAGCGGAGGAGAAAGAGATGGAGGCAGGGAAGAGAGAGATGAGGGAGAGAAAAGGATTTGAGGAGAAGGGGGAAGGGACAGACAGGACAGAATGGATGGAGGGAGGAAGAAAAATGTTGAGGATGAGATAGGGAAGGAGAAAAGGGAGGAGAGGAGAAGTAAGAGAAAAACAGGAGGGAGAAAGTGACAAAGGGGTAAAATTAATGAGAGACTAGAGAGGGAGGTTGTAGAGGGAAGTGGGGCCAGTTTCCAGAATGTCCCACGTGCGCCCCCCCTCCAGGCGGCCTGCAGGCAGCCGCTCACAAAGCGGCCTTTGATGCTGGCTACCAGGGCTATTTTGGGGACGAAATGGGGGGAAAGGCGCCAACCCACGCTCCTTGAAAGAAGTCACTTTCTGCAAAGTACGTTGGAGAGGACTGGGTCCTGGGTCTGGGCGGTCGCTG